AGTTGAGAGGTTGGTTGTGTATGGTGAACTTTACCAACTAAATCTGTCATAATAATGAATGAACGTGAGTTTTATAGTATGCGATAAAAATTGTCTATTATAACTGCATACAATTCCCTTCCCAAAAGTAAATAAAAGTCCAAAATGTAAACTCCAGTCATACCAAAGTTACCCAAAAGACATAAATCTAGATACCAAGGCTTCCCTATATTTGAAATAGATTTAGTAATGTAAAAAAAAAGTAGAGTAATTACTAATTAGCGGTAAAAAGCGTATGCAGTATGGACATGGTCTGTTATTGATAAATGGCCAGAAGTACTGATGAAGGATGCATAAAGAAGGCTAAAGGCCTAGTTTGAGATCTTTTATTGCCTACGTACAGTACTTTTGGTGCAAACAATATGTCCAACATAATTTTCCGGGCTCTAAATTTTCAATTGCCAAATACACACACACATTTCCATAGAGATACTAAATCTCAATTTTTTCTTCACTTTACTTACTTCTAAAGTTATCTTTGACATTGTTTGTTATTACTGCAAACTCTAGAAAAATACTTTTTAGCTATTAGGTTAATCAAGAATGATTTCAGATTTTTTTTATTGCCTACGTACAGTACTTTTGGTGCAAACAATATGTCCAGCGTAATTTTTCGGGATCTAAATTTTCAATTGCCAAATACACACACATTTCCAAAGAGATACTAAATCTCAATTTTTTCTTCACTTTACTTACTTCTAAAGTTATCGTTGAAATTGTTTGTTATTACTGCAAACTCTAGAAAAAGACTTTTTAGCTATTAAGTTAATCAAGAATGATTTTAGATTTTTTTTTTATTGCCTACGTACAGTACTTTTGGTGCAAACAATATGTCCAACGTAATTTTCCGGGATCTAAATTTTCAATTGCCAAACACACACACATTTCCAAAGAGATACTAAATCTCAATTTTTTCTTCACTTTACTTACTTCTAAAGTTATCGTTGAAATTGTTTGTTATTACTACAAACTCTAGAAAAAGACTTTTTAGCTATTAAGTTAATCAAGAATAATTTTATAAGGGGTTAATACCTTATTTTGACCTGAACAAGGACCATATAATCAACTTTGGTTTGTGGTTTCAGAAATTAACATCCTGGCCTCAACTATGTAACATATAGACTCAATTGGCCCGACACAGTGTTTGACCGTCAATTTTGATGGTCAACACCATTGACCGCTAGTCAACACGTCATGTCATTGCCTCGTCAACATAAAAATTATTAAAATATTATAATTCTGATTATTTTTCTAATTTTATTATTTATTATCAAATTAAAAAAGTATAAAAAAATTAAATTAAATTTTTTATTTTTTGGGTAATTTGAAAACGATAAATTTTATAAATTAACCAAAAATTATCAAATTATTTTATATTTTTAAAATTATCCAAAAATTAGAATATATAATATTGATTAAAATATATAAATAATTGTGATGACAACCTTAGGCCCTGTTCACTTCCATTTTCGTTTCCTGTTTTCTGTTTTCATGTGATAAATTTGGCAACCGAAATGAGAAAACTAGTTTACTTTTCATTCTGTTTTCTATTCGTTTCCAACTATGAAAACAGAAAGTGGCAACTTCCTGCTGTTTTCGGAAACGACAAATTGTTGTTTTCACCTGTTTTCAACATCTGTTTTCTCAAAAACAGGAAATAGAAATGAAAGTAAACAGGTCCTTACTCTTTCTACTTTCACTCTCAATTTATGAAATATGAAATGGAAAATGTTAAAACGTTAAATGTATATTGTAGAAAGAGCTTCTTCAACCAAGTTGGAATGATATTTTACCTAAAATTATTATATCTTATAGAAAGCGATTAATTGTGAAATTGAAACTCAAGTAATATTGATTCAAACATTAAATATAAAATTATATGTCGTGGTTCAGTTTAGACAAAATACATGTGTAACAAAAAAAATGACCTTTGTGACAAATATAGTAATTTTTTTGACAATCTACTTATAATACAAAGATAAATTGGGAGCAATGACGAAAAGAGCTTCCCACTTTCAGAGCACGAAATTTGAAATGAGACTCTTATTTTCTAATTTTATTATTATATTATGTGTATATTTGTCACAAAAAAATGAATATACTCGTCACAAAGGTCAATGTTTCAGTTACACTTCTGTATTTTTCTATACTAAACTACATGCAATTTAATATTAATGTTTGAATCAATGTTACTTGAGTTCCGATTTCAAAACTAATTTTTCTATAAAATATAAATAACTTAAGATAAAATCTAAATATATAAGCATCATCACCAAACATATTTCTAGAGTTTAATAAAAAAACAATAACAACAATGTAGCCTAGTTGGTTATAATGCTCTTTCTTCATTTGAGTGACCAAGGTTCGAACCCTTATGATAAAAAATTTAATATTTAAACATGAACTGGACGCAATGACAAAAATGACCTTCCTAAAATCACTCTCTGGCCTCAAAATTTGAAATGGGACAATTCCAACTCATGTTTTGCCATTATATATTTGTAGATTAAAGTTGCAATTGTGTTATTGTAGCATAAGGGTTATGCTAATATGACAGGCTGTCATTTATTTGGCTGACCGGAAGGACAATTCATCATGTATGGCTTCTGCAGTTCTGACGCATATAGGGGTGTTCAAATGGTTACCGTGGTAATAATCAAACCAATTAAGCTTAAATTTCATTAACCATGGAATAAAATGTCTTAACCAAACCATCCAAATTAACAAGGAAATCAAATTAACCAAAACAAAGTTTGATTGATTTGGTTAATCTGAAAATTGGATTAACCAAATAACATAACATTACCTAAAAGCAATTATCTTGTTAATGAATAAAACATAACCATATGTTATTACTATCATAAACTATCATTATATATGAGCAATAATAATAAGACTAACCATCCATGATTATCATCATCATTCTAGTTAACACATCATTCATCATCTCTGCACCTAATATAGTTAGCTTATAACAAACCCTTAACATAAATATTGAATACATACCAATACCACTCATCAGGAAGTTAAAACTCTTTTACAAAATACTTAAACTATACATAGTTTAAGGTGGCTATCATGGTACTGTACGTAATCCTAAAGTCTAGTAGCTGTCCAAAATGTTTTGATTTAGTAAATAAGCAGGCCCATTTAATTTTTGACCCATAATGTTTTGGTTTTTTGTGCACATGGAAATAAAATAGAGAATCACGAAAGTTTGGTTTGGTTGGAAATATAAATAATTTTGTATATTAGGTGTATCATTAATTGGTTAATTGGTTTCATTGGTTAGCAGTGTTGAAACCAAACCAAACCAAATAAACCAAATAAGCTAAATTGTTTAATCAAACCAAATCAATTATCCAAATTAACCGAATACTACCGGTTAATATGGTTTCCACGGTAACCAATCCGTTTGCACACACCTAGCCGCGTAGGAGATGGTGGTGGATTTGAATTAATGTTTTCGTTCTTCTTTTATTTATTTCCATCAGCTTTCTTCTCCATTTTCTACTTCTATTTTGCTTCCTTCTTCTTTATTCTTTTTCTTCCATGGATATTTTTATTTACAATTAGTTGATAAAAAGTAAAGAATTAGTTTGATAGAAAAAGCATAAAGGAGTAAGTTAGCGGCTAATGGTTCAACAAGCCTTTATTCAAAGACAATCCAAAGCCAATCCAAAGCGCGGCCAATTCACTCTAATTTCAAATGAAAAGGAAAAGGGAAAATGTAAGGATTGATAAATGGATGAAACATGATTTAGAGGTTTTATACTTAATTCCAATATTATCTCTTGTTATAAATGCGCTGCTACGGATCGGGAAAGCCAGAATACGAAAGTGAGAATCGAAAACACGACACACGATTTACGTGGTTCACTAACACGATGTGTGTTAGCTAGTCCATGGGCGAGAGAGAGAAAGTTTCACTATATCGAGGAGATTACAGATTACAGAGGAGTATGAGAAGTATTCATAGTACTTCTCCATGTGGGTCTAAACCTAATCCAATCTGGCAAAGGAAACGGTTACAGACTAGGCCCAGAACTTGAACCCAAATAATAGGGAGACCCCCCGACTAATCCAGTCGTAGCGGCTGATAGTCCGATTCAAGTCACATCAAAAAATCTCCAACTTGACTTGAATCCTCTTCCTCTGATGTACTCTACTCCTTCTCTCTCCCTCCCGCCATCGATGCCCCGTAGGGCGGAGTCACCCACTCAAGACATTCAACAAGTCCAAGCAGTGTTGGAACTTGCCATGTGGAACCGGCTTCGTGAACATATCTGTAGGATTATCCGCGGTGTCAACCTTCTTCACCTTAATCCTCTTCTCTGTCCTCAAGAAATGATACCTCATGTCGATGTGCATAGTCCTCTCATGGTGGACTTGATCCTTGTCCAAGCATATTGCACTCAAACTGTCGCAATACACCACTGCCTAATCATGATGTAGACCCAGATCACCTACCACTCCCTTCAACCATATTCCCTCCTTAGCAGTTTCTGTCAATGCCATATACTCTGCCTCAGTAGTAGACAATGTCACCGCCGACTTCAAAGTTGCCTTCTAGCTCACTACAAAACTCCCAAGAGTGAATGCATAACCGGTAATCGATCTCCTTGTGTCAACATCTCCAGCATAGTCCGAGTCAGAATACCCAGACACCAAGCACTCTATATCACATCCGAAGCTAATCCCCACATCAAGTGCACCCTTAAGGTACAGGAAGATCCTCTTCGCAGGCTGTCAATGCTCCTTCCCAGGGTGTATCATGAACCTGCTGACAACACTAACAGCATGTCAAGATCACGTCATGTGCATACCGTAGCATACATCAAGCTACCTACTGCACTAGCATATGGGACTCTCGACATGTACTCCTTCTCATCCTCTGACTGTGATGCATAAGCTGAGGATGGATGAAAATTTGAAGCATTAGGAGTATTTAAGGGCTTTGCTTAAGACATGCCAAACCTCGACAGTATCTTCTGGATGTAGCTCTTCTCTGACAAGAAAAGCTTCTTCTTCGACCTGTCCATGTAAATCTCCATACCCAAGATCTTCAGATCAACTCCCAAATCCTTCATATCAAACTCAGCACTAAGAAGCCCCTTTAACTTCTGGATATCAGACTTCGACCTCGCAGCTATGAGCATATCATCCACACAACAATCATATGGACTTTTGTTGTAGTGCAACTCAAGCATGTAACTGTCAAATCTCTTGTACCACTGCCTCAGAGATTGGTTAAGTCCATACAAGGACTTCTTCAGTTTACAAACATAGTCTTCCTTTCCTAGAACCTGGAATCCTTCTGGCTGAGTCATATAAATTTCTTCCTCTTACTCTCAATGTAGGAAAGCTGTCTTCACGTCTAGTTGCTCGAGCTTCAAGTCATAATGCGCCACTATTGCTAGTAGCACCCGGATCGAAGTATGTCTTACCATTGGTGAGAAAATCTCATTGTAGTCAACTTCTTCCCCTGCGAGAAGCCTCATGCAACCACCCGAGCTTTAAATTTAATGCCCTCTTCAGAACTGATTCCTTCCTTATTTTTGTAGATCCACTCATTTGTCACAATCTTTCTTCTCCTTCGTCATTTGACTAGCTCCCAAGTCTGATTCCTGTAATGGGATTCCATCTCATCTCCCATTACGGAAAGCCACTGATCAGCTTCACCACCGGAAACTGCTTCTCTATAGGACTTTAGCTCTCCTACATCCACTACTTCAGCAACTTGAAATGAATACGCCACCATGTCCTCGAAGCCATACCTCTGTGGAGGTACTCCTGCAGTCGCTCTCTTCGGTCTACCGGAAGCCATAGATTGCTGAGCTCGTGCATTGGACTCTCAACTTTCTGGCTCTGCAAGACATCTTCATCATGTTGACCTTCTCCACCTTGGTGCTCAAACTCACTCTCTTTGAGAGTTTGCAACTCCACCTATTTATCAACATTTCTGCTACCTTCAACAACAGTAACCTTCACCATGGGGTTAAACATAGACTTCTCATCAGATATCACATTTCGACTGAGTATAACTCGATGCTCAGAAGGTGACCAGACTCGAAATTCCTTAACTCCATCTCTGTAACCCACAAATACCCACTTCTTTGACCTTGGGTTCAATTTACCCTCATCCACATGATAATAAACAGTTGACCCAAAAACTTTCAGTGAAGAGTAATCAGCAGGCTTACCATGCCACACTTCATAAGGAATCTTAAACTCGATACCTCTGTGGGGTCCACGATTGATCAGGAAGCACGCCACGTTTATTGCTTCTGCCCAGAATCTTCTCTCTAGTCCAGATTAGATAGCATGCACCGTGCTCTCTCCAACAATGTATGGTTCATCCTTTCTACAACGCCATTCTGCTTGAACTTCGTGAAAGCCTCACTTTTCTACTTCATCATGAAAATCCAAGTAAATCTCGAATAATCATCAACAATAGACAGAAAATACCTACTGCCTCCAATGGATTCAACTTGTGAAGGACCCCAACAGTCAGAGTGGAGGTAATCCAGTATCCCCTTCGTCCGGTGGATACCTTTCTTGGGAAACTTGCTGCGATGTAGGTTCCCAAACACACAATGCTCACAGAATTCCAAATTCTGCACCTTGTCCCCGCAAAGAAGATCCCTCTTCGACAGAACTTGCATCCCTCGTTCACTCATATGCCCCAGTCTCATGTGCCAAAGACTGGTCATATCTTCCTGATGAACCTGAGACGATGCAACTGCGGCAGAACCAGACAACACAGACCCTTGTAATGCATACAAGGTCCCATGCTTCACGCCCTTCAGCACCTTCGATGAACCTTTGCAGACATACACAAACTCCACCTTTTCCTTTGAAGCTGAAACCCTTGCTGTTGAGTAGACTCAAGGAGATCAAGTTCTTTGTCATTCGTGGAACATGTCTAACATCATTCACGGTACATAACGAACCATCATGTGCCCGAACATTTATGGACCCGATTCCAACAACCTTGCAGACGTCTCCATTTGACATGACCATGTTACCACCATATATATGCTCGTAGGTTGTGAAGCAATCCCTGTTCGGAGACATATGGTATGAGGCTGTTGTATCCAGAAACCACACATCCCCACGATGTGCCTTCTCATCTACAGCCAAGGCGAGATTTTCTTCAAAACTCTTTTCCACTTCTGCCATGGCAACTGAACCTTGTTTCTTCTGTTGCCCTCTTCTCCTGGGATAGTTGTACTTCCAATGCCCCACTTCCTTACAGTTGTGAAAACTGAAAAGCATCACCTGGATGTGGACCGGGACCCTTGGAATTCTTGTTTGAATTCCCTTTACCAGATTTCTTCTTTCCCTTTCCACCTGTAACAGCCAAACCTGGTGCCTCACCACCTGTACCAGATTCGGAAGCCTTATGCCTGATCTCTCTCATATGAAGAGCAGACCTGACATCCTCCAATGACACGGTTTCTTTACCGGCAATAAAAGAATCAATGAAATTCTCATATGAACTCGGCAAAGAAACCAACGGGATTAGGGCAGCATCCTCGTCATCAACTTGAACATCTATATTACGCAGATCCAGCAAAATAGAGTTAAGTTGTTCGAGATGTTCCCTCAAAGGCGTACCTTCTTGCATCCTCAAGCTGAACAACCGATGCTTGAGATGGAGCTTATTGGTTAACGACTTCGTCATATACAGACTCCCCAAATTTCCCTCCAATGATTGTGGTAGCTATCATTTCATTAGTTTAATTAAATTGGGATTTAGGCTACAAATTAATTGTAAGGAACCGGCCCATTTGTATTGTGGTTTCGGTTACTCCTTTTCCCTAGTAACTCCTCTTAGCAATCCAAATCTAAAAGGGAACCTAAGCGAGTGGGAGAGAAGGAGAGAGCGACCGTCCAAATCACCTCAGCGAGCCTCTCCTCTCCGCGGCCGGATCAGACGCACCTGCCAGTAGCAGTCAGCTAACCCTCCACCGCCCCTGTCTTGTTATCTGCCGGACCTTGAGATCGACGGGACGGAGCCGATCATGACTGGGCCTGAGTCACGGGACGAAACGACAAAGCTTTTGGGATTTCGTAGCTGTACGTGGTGAGGACGACGAGCTAGTTCATGATGTTTCGGCAGAAGCTTGGAGCTTGATTTATTCCATCAAGTTGACAATTCCTTGAAGGGTTTGTATGTGTACAAGAATGATTTCAGCTTGGTTCCCAGGTCGATTCGAAGGCTCCACAGGCTGAGGGCGTATAAGTTGATCGAGATGAACAATTAGGCGAGGAGTAAAAGTGTCGGAGGTGTGTGGGGTGTGAGCTTGGACAGATTGGGAAGGAGAAGAAGGGTTTGGATGTTAGTCGTTGGAAAGAGCTTGCGCGTGAGAGTTCTCCGGAGGAGTGTAAGGTGCAAGAGAATAGATTGCGCCAAAAGAGTACCAAAAAGCTGAAGAAGAATGGAAAAGGAGGTGGAAATGTTAATAGCAAGTCCGCTGTAGGTAATGAGGTTCCAATGGAAGTGGACTTGGTGCCCGTTAGGAGTTTGTCGGTTCGCCAAACTGAAGTGGACGAGCCTTCCTTGTCTGGTGAAGTTGATTCCACAGGAGAAGCAGCCTGGTCCATTTAATTCAACCACCTTGCTTTTGCTTAAGCAGCCTGGTCCATTTAATTCAACCACCGATAATGACCAAAGCAAGCAAGCAAGCTGGTCCATTTGATTCCAAGTAAGCTTCTCCATTTTATTCAAGCAAGTGTAATAAGTTGGTAGTGAGTGGAGCAAAATCAGAGCTAAATCCGACAAAAGTAAGGTGAGTGTAAAGGGGGTAAATTCTACGCCTTACGTATTCTTTTAAGTATTACGATTTTAAGTATTTTAGCGATTTGGTTACCGTTGCGTGGTTATGTGTATTATTGATTATTTATGCCTTGCTTGAGTTATGTTTGAGGTGATTTTGTGCTATTTGATGTGATTTGAGGTGATTTTATGCTATTTACCTTAAAGCGTTATGTTTAACTTATTGTTAAAGTTTTAAGAAACAAGTTCTTTTTAAGAAGTAACTCACCTTCAAGAAGGTGATGTCGTTTTAAGTGTTTTTAGACACTGGCGCCAGTCCGTTGCCATTGAGATTTTCAGACAGAGCAGCAGTTATGCTCTTGAGATCTTTGAGACAGAGCAGCAGTTATGCTCTTGATATCTTTGAGATAGAGCAGCAGTTATGCTCTTGAGACTTTTAAGATGAGGAGCAGCTATGCTCTTGAGAATCGTGGTGAAGAGCCACCACGATAAGTTTAGATGTTAGGGGGATGAATCGTTACGACTCCCCTAACTAAGTTTAAGTTTAAGGAAAGCCTGGATGGCTTCTCATACGTATGAGTTGGCAACCGGACTAGCTAGTGAGGGATCCCCGTGTCAGTCAAGAGATTTAAGTCAGGATTTGAGCTTTCAGAATGGAGAGTAACGGGTAACTCCCATACAGTTTTAAGAGTTAAGCTTTATAATAGTGGAAGTACAAAAAAACTTCCACTTAGTTAAGTAAAGTGATCAAGGATTAGTAAAATCACCTCACGTAAGGGTGTAGATTGACCCCATCTCACTCACTAGTTTGAGGAGCTAGAGGAGCAGTTAGTGAGCAGCGAGTTCGAGGGCAGCCAGCTAGAGGAGGTCAGTGCAAGCGTCACGGAGGATGCCTAGTTAAGATTTTCAGTAGCAGCAACGACAGAGACTACCTAGTTATTTACATTTTATGATTATGAGTATAGACTGGAGATCAGATTGAGATTTAAAGTTGAGTTTAATTTGCCCACGTGTTAGGGCTTTGCTCTGAACTGCAAGTGTGTGTTTTCAGCATTTTTATTTATGAAAATTTTTCCCGCTGCAATTGAAGATTTGAGTATTTTATTTATCAAGGGCATTTTAGTAAAAGTAGTACCCGGCCGGGTTAGGGTGTTACATTTTGGTATCAGAGCCGGTCTTCCTCTGTTCCTTGGTTCCCAAGGAATACTGGAATATCGGTCTCAGTTTTAAAGGCTTTTGTTTTACAGGAAAGGAAAACGAGTTAAGGATCTTCTTTTAAGAGTTTATAGAATCTCCAGTCTACTCTAATCGTATTAAGGTAAATAACTAAAGTTCTAATAGAAGAGGTTCCAATCGTAAGGGAATACCTCTAAGATTTTGAAGGAGTTGAAGGAGTAGTACGAGGATTCTACTACTAAGCAGCAAGGAGAGGATCTAATAAGCAAAAGCAAACAAATAGGAGAACTACCAATCTCCGAAGAAAGAGCTACAGTCACTAGATAGCACTAGCTATAATGATTAGAGGATTTCAGGGTTCTTGACCCTAAGCAGTGGCGATGAGGCAACAAGTCAGGAAAAGAAGAGGTACCACAAGAAGTCCCTCAACTAGCTTTAGATTTCGACGGCTTGACGCTATTACTGCATAGTGACAAAGAGTAGTGGAAAGCTTAGACTTTAAGAAAAGCTAGGGTAGTATAAATTAAGCAAAGGAGGAAATAAGTAGGTTGCAGGGAGTATGAAAGGATGTCAAGAAGTCAACAGGTCAAGGAGGAGAGGAGGCTTGGTACTTTCCATATGATGATAAAGGAACCCTTATAGATAAACTACCTCACTAGAGAAGAGGGTACATGACCCTGGGGAGTTAGGCTGATAGCAAGCCTTTAAAAGGAACAAGACAAGCAACGAGATAAATGATGTAGAGGACAAGTTATGGTCTCGGTACGACCACCATTGGATGAGACATGGAGGAAAGTGCCACAAAAGTCTAAGGCATGCCTGGTAGAAGACAGTGGGGAGTCAATACATAAGAAAAGACGTGGAATGTGAGAGGGAATAACAGTTAGCTAGTAAATGGCAGTACAAATAGAGAACCACTTCTCAGCAGTGCGTGAGTTGGATACCAAGATAACACCGAGTTAGAAAGAGGATATTAGAGACCCTACAAACTACCCAGATCACAAAAGGGTCAAGAGGATGTTGGGACCATTGAAAGGGGAGTGCAAGAGTTCACGATGATCTGTTTTGGGATTGTCCTATCCTAAATGGAGGGCGCACCTAGCCTCCTAGGGTACATGAGGGGTGACAGAAGGAGGGACCTCTCTAATAAGTTGGAACTAGAGGGCTAAGAGCTGAAGTCCCGAAACTAGGCATAGGAGTAAGTCATTAAGCCAACCGAGTATAGACAAGTAAGTGGAACGTTCGATAAATGTTCTAGTGAATGGCAGAGAATTCGAGGAAGCACATGAAATTTCCGATGAAGGATGAGAATATGTGTAGGTGACTCGGGTTCAAGAAAATGCATAGTGGAGTACAAAGAGGAAAAGCATTACCAAGAAGGAGGAAATCATTAAGTTACCTTACCCAAGGTGCCCCACTCTGGGCTAGTACGACATAGTAGGATGGCATCCATAAAAGAAGGCCAGTTAAGGATAAATTAGTGATATTTAGTTAAGACACTAAGAGCCATGACTAAGAGATTAAGGCTATGTACAAGCATCGGTCGAGACAAAAGACGTGGATGAGGTATGTTCAAGCCTACCAAGGGCAAGCCACTATTGGAAGCTTTGACCCAAAACAACAACGACACGATACTCAACAGAGTTTGGTGACCAAAAATAGTACAAAGCATCAACAGAAGGGTAGTAAAAGTAAAGAAGCAAGGAGAACACCATAGGACGCTATAGGAAATAAAATAAAAAAGGGTGGTTGTTGACCGACGATGAATGCGTGAAGGAAGATAGTTGGGATGTGGTCAAGCACAATCGTGAGTAGAGGTCGTGGATGTCATCTGTCAAGTATACCTAGAGAAAGTTTCTAGTGGAAATGTTGGCTCTGAGGTATGGCGAGGAGCTACTAAACTGAGTAGATCAACGCTAGTACCAAGCATCGATGAAGGAGTTGTGGAAGTAAGGAGAAAACCACAAGACTATAATGAAAGTTATGGTGAAAAGAGTGGTAGTTGATAAAACGACAAATTCAGGGACAAAGATAGTTAGGAGGAGCCGGCGAAAGAATACGAAGGTCAACAAGGAGGCGTTAAGGTGATTGCCAGTGGAGAATAAGTTGGACGATAGGAAGCCCATCAAGGATTGAGAAACTCAATGGTCAACTTTAAAGTAGAAGTGTGGTGGTCCAGAACGGTCGAAGGGAAAACCTTATCGGTCAAGGTACATAAGTGAGAAGAGAATATGAGAACCTAGATGACTACATTGAAAATAAGGGACAACATCTAGAACTAGCAAGTAATATCAAGAAGAAGAGTCACGAGTAAAGAAGTAAGAGGGATATAAGTGTAGGGAACCTGCTAGAATACCCCAAAGTGAAACCAAGATTGCCTATGTTGGTGAAAGGTGTCAATCTCTCGGGTGTAAATTTCTTGGACGGGGAAACTGTACGAGGAATTTCAGCCAAGACTTTAAATTTAATGCCCTCTTCAGAACTGATTCTTTCCTTCTTCTTGTAGATCCATTTGTTTGTCACAATCTTCCTTCCCTGTGGTCGTTTGACTAGCTCCCAAGTCTAATTCCTTTCATGGGATTCCATCTCATCTCCCATTGCGGCAAGCCACTGATCAGCTTCACCACCCGAAACTGCTTCTCTATAGGATTGTGGCTCTCCTGCATCCACTTCTTCAGCAACTTGAAATGTATACGCCACCATGTCCTCGAAGCCATACCTCTGTGGAGGTACTCCTGGAGTCACTTTCTTCGGTCTACAGAAAGCCATAGATTGTTAAGCTCGTGCACTGGACGCTGAACTTTCTAGCTCTACAGATACATCTTCATCATGTTGATCTTCTCCACCTTGGTGCTCAAACTCACTCTCTTTGATAGTTTGCAGCTCCACCTGTTTATCAACATTTTTTCACCCCGACTAATCCAGTCATAGCGGTTGATAGTCCGATTCAAATCACATCAACATCTCTAATGTCATAGTCTTGCCACCAGAAACATTGCCGGAGCCACCACTCCTTGTCGATAAAATGGGTTTTTTTGTTGAAAATGTCATAAGATAAGTAATGCCACATTGTCTTTGAAGATCTACTCCTAATTCTGATTCTTTTCCTCGCCCCATTGGCTATGATGTGAAGAATGTACATACCCCTCCAAAGAATCAGAGCCTTGATCCGGGACTGTTCCAAGGGAAACAAGATGCGCTTCTTATGCGGATTGGGTTCTTTGCAACAATTTGTCCACTCTTTTTTATGTTTTCCAAGTCAACAAGGTTTGAAATTTCGGAAGATGTTTAGAAGAGCATAACTATCTTTTGAAGGCAATTTTCATTGATGAAGTTGTAGACAGTTTTCATCTAGGAAATAGTTGATAATGTAGTCATGGGATGCTTATAATAAAACCGTAAACTAAATCCTTTTAGTATTTTTATTATTAGAATCAATACCCGTGGCGCCACAGAGACTAAAGTGGCAGCAGCATGATTTTCGGGTAGGTAGTTCATATGACTACAATCAGGTTCTTATATTAGCATGGTGTCAAGGTATTGAAAGTGAGTTCTGGATAATTTTCTATCTCGAGTTTCATAATTCAGTAGCATGGTTCTTAACGTACATATTTGCCAATGAGCTACACATTTTGAAAGCGAATGTAAAAAACAAATGCATTGTCAAGTTACTCTGATTGTCAAACATTATCCATGTCTTACGAAAGACAAATAGTTGTCTCATAAAAGTGTACAAAAAACACTACATTAGTATCCATGGCTGTAGAATGCTCACTACCTGCTCATTGAAGCTTTTATCTCTAGTACCAAAATCTCGCAACTGCAGATAGCGAGAAAGGGCAATATTCCCTCAACCACAACTATTTTCCCAGGGATTTGGTAATGGCTATCCAAAAGATAATTGAACTCCCAACATATTGATCTATCCACAATCGGGTCTTAACCAATCAATGACAAAATTAAGGAGCAACTATAATAGAAAAAGGTGAAAGCAAAAGAAAAAAATGCCAGCGTACCAAGAAGTTCCAGCAATATCACCCAAAGGACAATCAATCTGCATATTCAAATGTGCTTTCTTCTCTATACGAAACCATAAATCGATAGAGAGGAGTTTTCTTCTGCTTACATTTTCGTTGAGCATGATATTCAGCCTGGACTCGGCCTCTTGGTAAGTCCGCTATATTTGAGACACTTTTTCTTCTATCATTTTGATATGCAAGCATTGGAAGTCATTACAATTTAGAACAACAATCATTGTTGGAAATGCAGCTCGAAGATGAAGCATTTGTAGCTCGAGTTTCAAAGCTACTACCTAGGTTAGCTCTTCCATGACCTCTGCTTCCTTCTAGTCGTCCATAAGCACAGGAAACAAATGAAAGCAAACATTTTCCTGGGCAAACAAATGGAAAACAGTCAACGAAACAAAGCAATTAGGAAACCGGCTTGAATAGTGAGTAAAAGCTTCACAGACAAACGAACTTCATAGACCAAACAAATGACTGGTCAAAGAGGGTCCAATTCCTTCTAAAATAGACAGCAAAAGCTATTTACGGGGCCAATACCTACCAACCCTCCCTCTCCAAGCAATGTACCAAACCTGTAAATAATAATATACTTGAAAACATATTGAGCAAAACTCGAAACTAAGGAAGAAGATGAGAAGCAGAATTCTGAAAATTGAGTTCTAGATGAAGAATTATCGGACATAAATCACGTATGTACCAAGTTTGCCCTGTGAGATTTGTAACCCAATAGTTGTAGTTCGACAATGGCTTGCTGAAAAACCCGAAGAGATAAAAAAAAAAAAAGATTGCAGGACTGAAAAGTAGTTCAGCAATGGCTTATGAGAAAAAAATTGTATCCAATTTCAGTAGATGGAGTAAGCAAGAACATATGTGCAACTCAGCCAACCCATAACTCAACTCACCTTCTACAAAAAGATAAAGTTTATGTTTAAGTTTTGAGCTTCTAAATATCCCAATAGACCTACATGTCTGCCTTTTCCAAACTGTAGCTTAAATAGGAACGTTTAGCACTCAAGTCAAAACCTTCAAGTAGTAAAAATAGTTTGAAGATAGCCTGTATGTACTCATGGTGACCAGAACTAGTTTGAATGGGAAGAGAACAAAAAGTGAAGGGACACAAAAAGAAGAATTAGTTAAGATTGAACGGAAGAGTAATATTAATCCTAACCAATGACTAAAGTCCTAACCCTACCTCTTTGTCGCTTGTAGTGGAAGAGCGATACAGAAAGAGAGATCAAAAAGTGTTTTATCCTACTTCCTCTTCTCTTCTTCTTCTTCAAGCTTACCATTATGATCTCTTTCGGGCTGCTCGGGAGAAATCAAATGAGGCACTCGATGTCAATTTCAGCTACTCTTCAAGTGTGAAAAGAACTGACTTAAATTGTGAAGTTGAAGTGCATAAAACTGAATTATCAGTTCCTACTGTGAAGTTGCAATGCATAAAACTGATTCAGCTACTCTTGCAAGTCTCCGTGGATGCATTACAACAAACAACTTTCATAATTGTCGGTCAAACAGAGTATAAACCTGCAACATTAAAGATCATGGAAGACCATCACATTAGTGATATTCAATTGCACGTTTAACAAATAGCTCTCGTTAAAGTGAGAGCATTAACCAACATAAACATAGATGTTCATTGACTTGAATAATCTAGACACGCAAGCATTTCAAATAGGTTACATTTCACATAGGTTAGCAGCCATTATACATGCTGGAGCATGTGTGCATATCAATTTCAAAACAATCAAGCTCCTAGAAAGGTAGCTTTACAAAGCTTCTCAAGCCACTATTCTACATAAATTTGAAACATATTGTAGCAAATAGTAGTACATCCACTGGAAACTTTAGTCGGTAAGGCTTAAATTACTAAATTAGTTTACTGCCTTTTGCCTCAATCATGATATTTCAGCAAGTTATGTTCATGACAGCAAGAAGTTGTATGGCGCATTTAGTCATCTTACCCCATTCTCGTGTCAATCATTTTTCACGATGAAGTAAAGACATAAAGAAACTATGGATTAAGAGAAACAAAAGGCAATACGAAGGGAGGTGATAGCCAATACCATATTTAGTTAAATAACATTCTTAAACTTCATCAGAGGGAACACATTACAGCAGCATCCTTCTACATCAAGTTGACTGGAAGTTTTAGTTTGCATAAACAAAATACATATGGGAAGTTTATTTCGCAAGTAAAAAGTACAATATAAGGTTGGTAGTGGGTCATTGAATGGCAAATCACCAATTGGTAATGTGTTAACAAAAATCTAATCAATAACATGAATAGAATAAGACTTAATCAATGACATGAATGTGATAGTCTAAGTGAGATAGAAAAGGCACAAATCTGGGTTTACCTAAGACATAGAAGTCCAGGAGTGAGTTCAAAGCATGCGTTGAGAGCTAGTTTCAAAAGAGAATCATCCCCATGAACCGAGTTCTTTGTTGGATCAAGGCAATGTTGTCAATGATGCTCAGGTAGCCGTGCAGAAAGAAAGGAAAGGAGTTATACTGTAGTGCCAACAATGTAAGCCATATGAGATTGGCTAAAGAACACAGAATAGTAGCATAAGGGTTGAATAATTAAAATGGTCATAGAACCACATAAATTAACAATCGAAATGATCACTACTAAAGCCAAAGAGAAACTTGATACAAAAGCAAATTGGGTCTTAATCTTTAACAGAACATTTAATAATTCTTTCTTGCAAATTCATGAGAGCAAGATCAATTAAGCATGACCAAAATTTGTTCACAAAGAAAAACCAGTTTATAACAATAGGCGGGCACCAATAGGTGGGTTTTAAAAAAATGCAAGAATGATTTGTAACCTCCAAAAGTACTCTCGAGTTATATGCGATGCTCTTAATACACAAATGCACTTAATATCATTGGACAATACGTTTTGAGAAAATAGAAGGAACTATGAATTAGGAAACAAACTGAATCATGAAAGGGCGTTACATCAACCATGACCCTTTAATGCTCATTATGATAGAGAAGGTTTTACTTCACAAATCATATACCAAGCCAACAATGGCATAAAAAGAACGGTTGACATTAGCATTTGCTTATAAAGATCATGAAACCGCATGCCTCTACCTTAAACATCATATATCACTTAATTATATTATCGGGTACGAGCATTTCTACTATGCTATATAGTATTGGTGTTTTAATGTACAACTTAAAGTTGTACCATAACATGAAATGTATAAGTTTAGATTGTACCATAAAAGAATTTGTATCATTATGTTATGGTACAACTTTACAACTTGAAGTTGTACCATTACATAAAGGTACAAGTTCAAGTTGTACCATAAAAGAATTTGTACAAACAGTATAGGTACAATCTGAAATTGTACCATAACATAAATGTACAATTTTCAGTTGTACCATAAAGACAAAAACCTATAGCACCAATACTATATAGCATTATAAAATTCCTCTGAGAGCAAGAGAGACAGAAAAATACATGAGCTATCAAATGAATGACAAATAGAAAAATAGAGAGCCACTCACAACCATTTTTAAGAGGAAAAACACCCACCCAAATGATAGAGAAGTCTGGATGGGTGAGAATTGAGAACCATGGAACTGCTTTCATATTTGCAGGAGGTGTTGGAGTCGAAGCTAGGGGTGTCAGTTCGGGTCGCGTTCGGTTACCCGAAACCGAAAACCACTAAAACCGAACATAAACTTGATAAGGACTTGCGGGTTCCGGTTACCCAAAATCCAAAAATTCCTTATCGGGTTCGGTTAAAGCAAAACCGCAACCCGAAAATCCGAACACCCGAACACCTAAGAATACGAACTGAGTTCTATTTAATGGAGGGTTTTAGCCGGAACCCAAAAATCAAATAAGCAAAACCGAACCCGAAACCGAAAACCCGAAATCCGAAACGAACCCAAACCCAAAAACTCAAAAATGTATATAATCGGGTCGGTTTCGGGTAAACCCGAATAACTTCATAACAAAATCAAAAGATATAATCATATTCATAATCATCATGTTACGAATCAAAACAAAAGGAAAAGAATACTGAAATTTTCTTCCTCGCTGCTAGCGATCACCGCAACAGCTGCTTCTCTCCGCTCGTTTGCCAATCGCCAATACCTTTGCCAAATAATTCTTCTCCTCTTGCGTTTAGCACTGCATGTAGTTCTTGTCCCAATATAATTTTCCACCCCAGAAGTTATGTCCTCCTCCCCAAAAGAAAATCCCTCCATGTCCACCAAAACCCCCAGCCTATTCCAATTAATTCCCCCTCACAAGTTACGAAGCTCTTCAATTATTCCACCCGCTCCAAAAACTCCCAGCCGTCCCATCTTAATTTCCGGTCCGCCTCTCCTTCTCGTTCTTTTTTAAGGGAAAGGAAATAGGCTGCTAGGCCCATTTTAATGGTTTGAGTTGCTGGCCAGATTTACGGTCAAAGTAAATTGGTTGATTCTTTCCAGTTTCCACTTCCATTATTCTTGTACGTCCTTGTCATTTTGTTTGTGCTTGCATGCTCTATTTCTCCACCTAAAATATATCAAAATTCTAACACGAGGTGGTAATGGCCTTGCAACCATTCCATAATCAATTGGCTCTAGAGCAAGCATTATATATCTCAAACATATCATAAAATATTCACATTAAGCACACAAAATCAATATGTTTTCGACAATTATCAGATACAATAGATGATTTGAAATGCATGAAATGAGTGTTTGTACCTTAGCTATGCACATAATATTTTTGAAGTGATTCAACTATGCATAATGTGTTTAGACCTCCATGAAAAAAGAAAAAAAATGATATAAGCATTAGATATAATTATTGCAAAGTGTATTTTTGGTTGAATTATGCATTATCGCTAACTGACTTATGATTTTTTGCAATACATAGTTCAAAATTTTGCTTGAAACTTTTGTTTCTGCCGGTGTAAAAGAATTGTTAGAACCAAGGATTGTAAAATTGTATCGAAAAAGTTGGTGATAGAGTATTTTATACAGAAGTCATAATTTAACCGTGGTTCAACCGTTTCATATTGTTAAATATCACCTACCTATTTAGTTTATGGTGTGAAATTTTATGGTCGAACCGTCGGTACATATGATCCTACAATTCAAAATTTAAATAAAAAATTAATAAAATATTGACATTATCAAATACCCCTTAAATCTCAAAAATTACAATAATCGAATTAAGAAAAAATCATCCAAACAGTAATATTGATTTAGGTTTTTACATTGAAATGGAAAAAAATATGTCAAATATAATGTTATCCTCTAAAATAAATCAAAACTCAATAGAATAGGGTCAACAATACTCACTAAGCAAAGTAGAAGGATAATTATTTCACACTACCTCTTTTTCCCCGTCTTTTAAATGTGTCATCTCACTCTCTCTTTGCCTTCCTCTTTCATTTTCCATTTGTTTTTCCATCTCTCTCTGATCTTTGTATCTCAACAGTCTCCCTCTTTTCCTTCCTCATTCTTCCCATCGTCTGGAATCGGGAAAAACTTAAAAACATCCCAATTACTTCGCCCATTTTACTTACGAAGTGCTTCTTCTCCATTCACAGTCGATAGTGTGAATCAGAGCACCTGAAACCTGACAAACAGATGACCACTTATTCTTCGACGGAGCAAAAAAGTTTGCTAGCATGTGAATAAAATAATTACTAAAAGTGATAAAAACAAAACTCGTTAAACTAATCGAGTGAGTCTATAGTTAGTTCATCGTTTAAACAATTTTAGTTACCAATAAAATCAAAATGCATAATCAGGTTCATCTTCACTTATTTACATGTATTTGTCGTACAAATTCATTACACATAAAAAATGATTTTGAACCGACATTTCAAACTAAATGGCATCTTATGATTATTGGATCCAATCATGTCAGATTAGCAAAAGGTCAAAGACTATTGTTCAGTCGGGCTGAAAATTAATTAAGTGACCTAGGTTCGAACTCCAATGATAACAATTTTTATATATGAAGATGATTTGGATGCAATGACAAAAATAAATTTTCTAGAATCACTATCAGACCTCGAAATTTGAAATGAGACAATTCCAAGTTTCAAACTTATGTTTTGCATTTATATATTTTGTAGATTTTTTTTCCCTTTGCCCTCGTACTGTTCACATTAAGTTTTCATTTGGCATCTAACCATGTAGCCCCTTAATTATAGATTATTATTATTAAATACATACAAAATAGTATTAATAACAATATTATTATTAAGACATATAATCCGTCAAATTTAATAGAGAGAAAATGTATACATGATCAGAAACCAATCAGGTAAGTTATTGATCGGACGCAATCCCACGGGCTACTAAACATATGAGAACGAAAATAAAATTGAAAATTGAGGTGATCCAACTACTTTTCTTCTTTTTATCTTCATTAAAAATTGAACATTGAGGTAATCAGGGGTGGACAATGTGTTGGTCCATATCGAATTACACAGGACCGAACCGATATTTGGAGTGGACCACACCAAATCCAATATAATATGATCTGATCCTTAAATTCATGAATTTTATAAATACTGAAGAAAAATGGATTGAATTGACATTTGAACCGGACCAAAGCAGATCAAAGCAAATCTATTACACTATTGGTTCGGTACTTGATCCTATAATATCTTTCTTGGAGCACAATTACTGAATTTGGTCCAATCCAAATGCCAGACAAATTGTGATATGGAAGACCTGAAAACTAAAGGCTGGAAAACTAAAAGAAATGCCATAAAAAGTGCAGCGTGTGAATTAAAGGCCTTGGAATCTACACATAATATAATACACTGAAATTGAAGGGAAAAACGGGAGCTCCATTTCAAATTTCATGCGAGAGTGAAAGTAGGAAGGACATTTTGGTCTTCATAATTACTTTTTTTTATTCATTAAAAAAACACATACTGGGATTAGAACCATGACCATTTTAAAGAAAAGCAAGGATCATAACCAATCACACTAAGTACATTTGTTGTATATTTTTAAATTAAAAACATATAATAGTAGAGAGGAAACCCCCCCCCCCCTTCAAATTCCCTACTCCAAGAGCGTTTGTAGGAAGGGTAGAATCGGGAGTGTCAATTTTTTTCTCTTTCCTCTGTGGAACGGGCCAACTTACCGTACACATGCGGATTTAAACGGGTCCAGGAGTGTCAATTTTTTTCTTTAAGCCATTTTATTTCTCCGTGGTGATAAAATATATATGAAAAGGCAAAAACAATACTCTTTTTTATTGCTAAAAATAAAAAAAAAATTAATAATAAACTAATGCATGGTATCTAATGGGCTAACCGCTTACGATAAAATAAAAGAGTTGAATGGGCCTGACCTACACGGATTTGGCGATCAAGTAAAACAAATGAACATCATTGGTTTGTCATTCTAAAACAAGCTATTTTCTCTGGCATAATATATATTATGCTATTATTTTATATCTTAGTGGCTAAAATATAATGTATTTTAAAGTTATTCAATGGTTCAACCTCGACCAACCCAATTAGTCCAATTTTTATCATTTCAAATATATATTATATAATTATTTGATATCATAATGATCAAATTATAGTGTTTTTTATAGGGAATCGTTTGGTATTTGTTAGTAAAAACCTAAACAGAATGATCTATTTGGTTATTTTAAACATTAAAACAATCCTAAACATTTTCAGTTCCTTTTGAATTTTTATGGTTTAATTCCCGAATAAGTGATGTGCAAATGGCGAATTGCAGTCATCTCTTTTCTTTCACTATTTTTTATTTTCAAATAGAAAGTTTAAAAGTAAAGAATAATTAGAATTTGGCATGGGTCATTCAAACACGTTGATTTCAAGTTTTGGCCCGTTTTGATCAAGTCTAATTTATAATCACATGGTTCCCTGATACCCGATAAAAATCTCAATCCAAACTAGTTTGGCAGGTGAGTCTGTGTTTACCACCATTTTCTAGGGATACGACAACGGCGGTTCCTATCCCAAATCATGTTGTTCGTTCTTGATTTCCTTAGATTTTATCATGGCCTAACAAAAATCAGAAAGCACAATGACGAGAAGATGAAAGTTTCATAAAGCAAATTGATCGACCAACGGGCTGAGTAAAAGCTAGCAACGATTGTGAGATGCTCATTTCCCGAAAACGGGATAGGCGATTTTTTATTCAATTTTCTGGAATTCGGTTTCTATAAAACTTACTCCACCTCATCATATTACCAGAAACAATATTGTTTCACAAGGTAACATGTACTTGATTTTGGTTCATAATGCCGATTTTTGATTCATTGCATCATTCAATGTCTCTATCCTGCTAAAATTCACTATTTTTATCACGAGTTTTCCAAAAAAAAAAACTATACAACAATAAGCTATACACCCCATTACATTATCAAATTTCATACCTCACCTTCCTCCGGCGAACTGGTCGGGGCCATTGATAGTTAAAATTATGAAGGGGCCGAGTATTAAAGGGCTGAAAAACAAAAAACAAAACAATTCCACAATAAACGCAGCGTCTGGGTTGTGGGGTGTCATTAAAAAGGCTAGAATGACTAAAATGTCCTTCCGCGATTTAGCTCCAATTTTTGTATGGGTTAATACCTTAGTTTGGCCCGAACTATAGACAAACTTTCTACTTTGGCTCGTGGTATCGGAAATTGCTATTCTGGCCTAAATTATGTAGCATACTTTCTTATTTGGCCCGGAGGCGGGTTTGACCATCAAATTAGACGGCCAACTAAGTTGACCGTTAGTCAAAGTCCACCTCACTTGCCATGTCACCTATCAAGGAATAAAAAATTATTATTTTTTGAATTTTTTAGTTTTGTTTACTTTCTAAAATTAAATAAATATAATTTGGAGGGCTTTTTATTAGTTGTTGAGATTGTTGGGCCTTGCCCTGCTCTCTTCCTCAAATCCATAGAGCCCACTCAACAAAAGGCCCAAACAAAGTCGTCAAAAGACAACTGATCGCGTCTTCGCCTTCATCCCATTTGCATCATCAATTTCACGCAGTAAAAGCTCCCTTCCATTCTTCAGTGCATCGGCTTCTTCCACATTACTCCGTACAAACGGTAACTACATTGAAGAAGGAAGAGACGAACAATAAAGGATGCTGTTCTATTTAAAGACCTCTCCAGGAAGAAGAAAGGTGACGGTTTCCTGTTCTCAGTAAGAGCTTGGCTGCTCTTTGGTAGTTCTAGGTCTGGTTTCGGTGTTAGTGTCTGGAAAGCTTGAGTTGGGGCTTTGTGCCAGGAAGGAACTGAAGCTTATCTGGGCATAGCTGTTGGTCTTGTCTTCTTTTCTTGTCTACCCTTCTCGCGGATGAATTGATCAGAACATTTGCTTTTCTATTCTCGATTGCTTTCTGTCTAGGTCTTTTCTGTATTCCCTTTTATTGCAATTGAGAGCCATTTTGATTGAATTGGATAATTGTGTTAATCCTCTGTTTATCCAATCAAGAGAACGAAATTAGATACATAGCATCTTATCAGAGATGAGATGCACTTATTAATCGGTAGTAATAATAGTATTATTATTATTATCAGTAATTAATCACACTAACTAATTCGGAAATGACTTGAGTGGATCTTTGGGATCGATGTGAGATATAAGCGGCTGATCCGAAGGCAGAGTTTGAAGGCTCACTCCTACCTCCTCAAGCTTCTTCACCACTTCCTCGAACACCACCTTGTTCCCTGCCTCGCTCAGGTGCAGCCCATCACTACATCACCATTCACCACGAAACATTATGATTAATCATCTTAACCAATTGACAGTAAGTAAACCAAAAATTGAAATGGGCCATCTTTGAATTGGAGTACTGTGACCTGAGGCAAGCTGTGGGCCAGTTAGGTAACTGCTGCATTTTGGTCCAGAGATCAATAACAGGGGAGCCACATTCTCTTGCGACATCAATGCAGGCCTTGGCGTACTCCCCTGCCGCTTCGTTTGTCCTCTCGGGTAGACCCGACGGGTTCTCCATATACGGGTTCCTTCCAGCAGCAAGGGAAAATGGATAGCGCTTTCAATAATTTGGTAAGAAGACTGAATTCATTCACACGAAAAATAATGTGAAAGGGAAAACAGAGGACGGAAGATTGAAGGTGAAGGTGAAGGAGAATAAGAAGAAGAAATGTACTGGAGGCGTCCCTCTTCGTCGATTGGGGGAGGAGTGATGAGTAGAACCACTGCTTTTGGCCACCGCTCCTGAAATTCAACACCATCATATCATGTATTGTTCAGACACACCACCATGATCTCAGAAACACACACACACACATACATAATAGCTAGCTCCGACCCTTGTGTTTTGAGAACGGATGATTTTGTTAAGAATATATATGTGAACACAGGCAGAAGAATGCATCAACTTTCGGGTGAGCATCGCGAAACCTGAATCTATATCACGTCTTGTCTTATTATGAAATCATGTTTTAATTTAGAGGTCACTGTGCAAAAGATATATGTTACGTTAGCCCTACATGATGTAAGGTTATTTTCTCCATTCACTATACTAATATATTCATTTTATGAACTGCACAAGAGTTCATGCTACAAATTGTGCAACTGCATGCTAACATCCTTGCTTTCACTTTCAGGATGGTTTCTTTTATACTAAGCTTCTAAGATTTGTCTTTTGAATAACCGGTAAACTCTATTAATATCTATCTCGCCAACTATCATATCTTAATTGACATCATCACTCCAGAGAACCCAAAACTGGAGGGCTCGTAGAACCCACTCTTATAGTGTAGGAATTCAGCTTGCTTTTTGTTGTATTTTTTTTAATGTTAATGCACCGTTGAAATGACGACTTTCGTTCTTTCAAAACATCTTCTTACTAGAATTCAGATGGTTGTAACTTGTGATTAGTGATGGCAATTTCAACCCGGCCCGCGGGTATTACCCGACTTGACTCGCGATGGGGCGGGTATTATCCGACCCGCAGTAGCATGGGGCGGGGCATGGGTATCTACTTCCGACTCGCCCTGTCCCGCCCGCCCCATTCTAGACTCATTTTATCTCAATTTCTTATAATTTCTATACATATTTATCCTATTTTGACTTTTCTTCAACTACTTAGAGTAGCTCTTTCAATTTGTTAGACTCGATTACTCATTCTATTATCAATATTTTTCATTCTTAAAGTGTTTTTCCCTTTGTTTTATCGTAAAAAGTAAAATTTATTTGTATTTTTTTCGAATAGCATGTAAGAGTGGGTCGACCCGCCCCGCCCCGTACCCGCGCGGATTTTACCCGCCCCATAATAGTGTGGGAAAGGGCATAAGAATTGAGGTACCCGTCCCACCCCGACCCATTGCGATCATTACTTGTGGTCACAGTTCTGCATTTAAAACGAAATCAATAGAGGTCATAACACATTTATGTTGAAATTGTGAGACGGCCCACATAGGCCATAGCAAATATTAAGAGGAAGAAAGAAAGAAGTCCACTAAACCCAAATTGGCAAATTCAAAGCCCAAGTGGGCCCCCCTTACCATAGTTACATTGGCCTGGAATCTTAGAAAACTTCCCAGTCATGAAAATATTCATGAAATGAAATGCTTGACGAAGTAGTAATGCTTAATCAAGTTTACAGGTTTCCAGTTACGTGGGGACGTCTTTCTAACCCCATCAAAACTCATTGAGGGTGACTTACTAGTTGCGACCCAATGTCCCAATCTAAAGAACAAACTCTGTCACATCTTACGAAAATCGCTTGTTTGAGAAAAATCACAAAGTTCTTAGTTGTTTTGGAAGCATCATAAATAATATATTTTGTCGAGTGTTTTTCGTTTGAGAGTGAATAATTTGACACTAAATTATACAAATTAAGTTGACCTTGTGAGCTCCCTTATAACTAAGGTCAAATTGAACTCGAAAAAAAAAAAATTCTAGTTAACGAGACTAACTCGAGGGTGACCCATTGTATAGCAAACTAAGTTCAAAATCACAACAAAAACACTCAACTCGACTCCTATCACATTCTTATCCAAGCACAATATAAGAAAAAGGAAACTATAAAATAATTGGTGACGCCTGTCCCAATGAAAGGTCACCCTCATCAGCAGCATGATTATTTACCAAGGAAGAAGAAAAGAAGGTGCCCCATGATGAGAATAGAAGCATTTATAAAATGGCAAACTATAAAAAAATTGGGTCCTCACCTCCGGCTCCGGGCCTTCCCTTCCGTCACCCCATCCATCCCTTCGAACAACGGCACGGCGGGACTAATCGCCCTTTCTTTGACCCTCATCACACTTATTATTATTTGGTTCCCTAACTAAACCCTTTTGTTACATGTTTTCTACTCTATTTTCTTTCTCAAGGAAATTCATTTTGTATGTTCCAATTTCAATATCGTGATATGGATATAAAATTAATGTCCAATGTTATCATCTAGGATGGTTTAATTTGTTGCAATCTCCTAATGCTTGTCACTCTAGAGACACACATTTCTTTTATTTATCCAAGCGATTATGCCCAATTATCATCGATGACTTGGCGCACACTCTTCCCATCACAATCACTCATAAAAAAAAGTTACAATTTATAAAATCGCAACGAAGGTCGTCCTAAATAAACTAGTAGAATAATATTTAGCATAAGTTGAAGATTCAACCGCCCAACACTCACAAGCTCATATTAATTAATTATGTGTACCTTACTGATCGCAATGTTTTTATTATTTCCAAGCAGAAGCCCCATAACCTATATCTTAGAGGGTCTTAAATTTAAAACGGTGAAAGGAAATCCAGCTAGCACCCAATATACTCTTGACACAATTGTCTCGTTAATTGTACCAAATTGTCTCGTTTGCCAGCAAAAAATTTGGATGGATCAATCTGCCTGAGGTATTTTGAATTGATTCTTTTTTAGTCAATTTTAATTATCTAGGGTGGGGGCAAGTAATTCGAATTGACTCGTTTTAATTGTCTCGTTTATAAAACGAGACAATTGATCAAATTGACTCATTTCTAAATTGATCCATCCAAACAACCCCTAATATTGTGTAGTTCTACCACTAGGAGATGAGTTACAGCGGCCAAACCTACCTAGAAGTTTGACCCAACCTATGTTGGTTTAGATAAAAGTAGGACTAACCTTAAGGAAGGAAACAATGGAGCGGAGGTTGCGGCCGTACTCCTCAAGCGGCACGTGCTGGAAGGCAGAGCATCTATCGGGAAGGCAAGCGTCGTTGGCCCCGAAAAACACAGTCACCGCCACAGCCTCTCCGGCCGCCGGAAACACCCTCTCCGCCACCTTCAGCGCCCACCGGGTGTTGTACCCGCTATAGCCTCTCAGCACCACATCCGCCTGACAAAACAAACAATATCGCTCGATCATTCCACAAACGCAACCAAAGAAATTAAAGAATTAAGTGATTAAAGATAGGTACCGTGCGGGCAAAGTGGTTGGTGAGGGAGGCGCCCCAGCCGGCTTCTTCGAAGGACATTTCGGTGATGGAGTCGCCGAACAGGTAAATCTTCGGTCTCATGATCGTTGGTTGGTGAATTTGGATGGTTACAAAACCAACCAATTGAAGCTTGGAGCAGGGGATTCTTTTCTACGGGAATTTGTTATTCGGGGGAGGAGGGTTGTTATCTAACTCTTTCTTATAAATGTCCCGCCCGCCCACACCAACCAACCACTTGCGTGGGAAGAGGGAGAGTACGTGATGTGTGTAGTCTTTAATTATTTTTGCAACTGCGTGATGTGGTGGGATGCCCCAAGTCATGTCAAAGACCCCGAAGAAGACGTGACTCCGGTTCAATTGGTTGGTTAGGTTAACGAGGGTGATATTTGTTATTGGAGGTGATTAAACAAGCCTATCTATTTCTTGTTATTTGTCAGCCAAGGCATTTACTATTTGCCGCCCATAATTTAAATAAAAATGTCATTTTTCGTTTTACCCCTCGTTTATTTTTTATAACACAAATCCTCATCCACCACCAGCAGACTACTATCGCCGTTCTTTCAAAAAAAAAAAAAAAAAAGACCACCATCGCCGTCCACACCATATCTCGTCCCGGCGGGCGGACGCCTTCCGACCTTGGCTGGCGGACCCCGTCCGACCAAGTCCGGTGGCGACATTGACGATGAGTTCCTTCCTCAACTGCGGCGGCGATCTGGTTATTAATTAAGATAATTAATTTAATATAATGAGATGAGACGTGAGTGATTGGGAATTGGGAAGGAATTCATCGTCTGAAAACTAAATGACATGCTAAATTAGCACTAATTGCAATTCATAATTTAAACACTAATTCTGAAATTTTACAATTAGTTAAATACTTTACCTAAACAATAATTATTTAATTGGAAAAAAAAGTAAAAGCAACGGCAAAAAAGGAATCCATTAATGGCGGTTACCAAAAAATATAAATAAAAATTAAAGATTTAATTAGGGAAATGAATTCTCGGTTGCTAATTGGGGAACTGGATTTTTAGTTTTAATTAAGGAAATAATGAATAAATTTACAAATTCGGCGGACGGTCTCTTCGGGTACAGAATGAACACAATTCGGACACTGGGAGCGGATCACCTCAGTAACCAAAGCATCAGTAACTGTCAGTAACCGCCTGATCCACCGTCCATCGGATCATCTTTTCAACTATCAGATCATGCAGAGGAACTACACGTGGGGGCAAAATAGTAATCATGCCTCTGACAATTTGAAAAGCAGACGTGACAACGACATCAACCGGTCCCGCCTTCTCTCCTTCTTTCTCTCACCTTTCACGTGACAGTTCTACTTCCCTCTGCTCTCTAACTCTCCATTCTTCCTCCCGATCCTCAATTCTCTCACCGAAAATCGCAGCAAAAACTTCAAAAACACAGAAGAAACTTCAAAATCGAAGGATTTAAGGTCTCCGAAGAATCATTCAACAATACATGGTTCTCGCTTCTTCGTTTGAAACGAAGGGTTTCCAACTTCAACGAGGCTCGAAAATTGTTTTCGCACAAAATATCAAGGTAAAACCTCGTTTCTTTCTTCGAAATCCATCCATAAAACAATAGAAACAGTATTTTAGTCACTCTTCATTTGAAAATTGAAGTAAACTCGCTACATTACCAAATCGTTACCATACATTGCTGAACTGGTGCAGAATCGTTACCATATGGTATTAAGATTTGTAATGCGCTAAAAAATGGATGAAAGCGTAAGTCCTGTTGTATTTTACTTTGTTACCATATGGTACAATGTGACATTGGTTGCATGTTAAAAAAAATGGTGGAAACCATAAGTCCTGTTCTGTTTTACTTTGTTATCATATGGTAAGATGTGATAAGCTATGATTTCATGTTATAAAATGGAAAGAAACCGTAAATCCTATTGTGTTTTATTTTGTTACCATATGGTAAGATGTGATAAATTATGGTTTCATGTTATAAAAAATGGACGAAACCATAAGTCCTGTTCTGTTTTACTTTGTTACCATATGGTAAGATGTGATAAGCAGTGGTTTGAAGTTATAAAAATGGAGGAAACCATAAGTCCTATTGTGTTTTACTTTGTTACCAATACCATATGGTAAGATGTGATAAGCTGTGGTTTCATGTTATAGAAATGGAGGAAACCATAAGTCATGTTCTGTTTTACTTTGTTACCATATGGTAAGCTGTGATAAGCTATGGTTTCATGTGATAAAAATGGAAGAAACCATAAAACCTGTTGTGTATTACTTTGTTACCTGGTAAGATTTTATAAGCTATGGTTTCATGCTTTCAAATGGAAAAAACCATAAGTCTTGGTGTTTTACTTTGTTACCATATGGTAAGATGTGATAAATCTATGGTTTGATTTGGTATGGTAGGAAACCTTTATGGTACCATATGGTATATCATGGTAAAAAGCTTCCTAATAGACTATTCATGTTTTCTACATTCAGGTACACTATGGTGAAAGAAAGAAAAAGTTTTTGCACAAGGTGCATCCCAACTAGAGTATCTGCAATTACAAGGATATTAAAAGATGAACAGAAAGAGCAACTTGAGATATTAGGCCTAGCAGGCTTAACATCAATCAGGCAGACAAAGATAAACTCATATTTTGCATTGTTCACAATGAACAAATACAATCCAATGACAGAATCGTTCAAGCTACATGACGGGACATGCATGAAGATATCAGCAATCGACTTTCATAGAGTATATGGTATGCCAATGGGAATAGGGAAGTTGTACCTCCCAAAATTACTTGGGACGACGCAACAGATTATGAAATAGAAACCCTACTGGAAGTAGACGGATTAGGAACAACTCCAAGGGTAAAGCTAACTCAGGTAGAAAAAGATCTTCCTACAACTAAAAACACTAAGAGATGGTTACAGTTATTCTTTCTGCTGGTCACCGGAGGCTTGTTGTGTCCAACTTCAACCCCTACTTCTGAACTCAACATGCTTGAGTACTTGAAGACTGATGAACTTAAACATTTCACCAGCTACAACTGTTGCAAATACTTCTTCAAACACATGAATGAAGGATTGAAATCAGGAAACCTTTACGTCAAGGTCGATCTTCACTTCCTTACAGTAAGTCTCCATTCCCTTGGCCATTTCAACCTTATTACTCATATATTTTATATACAAATGTTAGTCTTTGAAAAAACTAATACAACTATCTGCATAAAAAATGTATGCTTCATATACAAACTGGACAAAATGACGTTCTCAACCCAGCTTCGAACCCCAACAGTAAGCTACTATGATGATCTCAATGTCCAAAGAAATTTTGAGAACATTAAGAGCTACTACAATGGAGAAGAGTTGAGCCAGATAGCAAAGCTTGACAGCATTATTGTTGATGAGCCTGATGATGCAACTGATGGATCATGAGAAAGAGCCAGTCTATCAATCACTGAAAAGACAAAGAACCAAAACTCTAGACCAGTCATCATCACTGAACTTTGATTTGCAGAATATCAGAACAGTCTACCAAGTAAGTACAAATTATATGTATTCCAGTTGTCCATTTCACGCTAATATAATCTAATAGAGTGATAATAATTGCCAATACCATGTATTACCACCATGGTAACTAACTATACACCATACACACATTACCACTATGGTAACTAACTATACACCATACACACATTACCACCATGGTAACTAACTATACACCATACACACATTACCACCATGGTATCTTACAAAACTAAAATCCTATTATGCAGGCTGAGAATGCAATCAAACTGCTTGAAGCATCGATGAAGGAAATGATGAAAGCAATCAAAGAGCAGTACAACAGCCAACTAGACAAGCTGATCAAACACAAAGAGAATCTCCAGAAGAAAGCTCTGATGAATATGTTCAGCCCACAGAAGGAGAAAAATCTGGCAATCAGGTGGTAGGAACATTCAGTGAGTGTGAATATGATGAAGAAGAGAACGATGAAGAAATCGATGCCGCTTTGGATAAAACCCTGAAGACAATATTCAAAGAGGCAAAGCTAGACAAGAAGAAATAGGAGAACAAGGAGGGAACACAACAAGAAGATGATTCGCAACCAACTACAATCGATCTTGCTGCACCTACACCAAAGCCAAAAAGAAAAGGAGCAAGATGATTCTGCTGTTGAAGTAGATGTATCATCAAAATCTGTTCCAGAAACTTCAAACAAGGGAACCACCAAAGAAGTTTCAGAAAAACCTGCTGCAAGAGAAGAAGATGAACCAAAATCTACTCCAGAAGGTGTGAATAGGGAAAGCAACCAAGAAGGTCTGAATCAGGGAAACACCCCAAAAGCAGTTCCTGAAAAGACACCTGCAAAAGAAATAGGAGTAGAAGGACCTAGAGAAACAGCAGATCCAATGGATCTTGATAAGGAAACACCACAAGAAGGGAATGCAGGTCAAGCTGCGAAAAAACCTGGAGAAAGTGACAGCGAGAAGACAGAGTTAGATGATGTCGTTCGAGAAGAGACTCCTAAATTGCCAACCAATGATACTGAGAAGACTAAAGTGACAAGGGAAGACGACATTCCATCATTCGATCTCAGCCCTCTCAACCATCAAACACCAAAAACAATAGTAAAGTGGACTACCACCACGGCAACCAATCAACCAGAAGAGCCTTGCAAAAGAAGAATCGTGGCGAAGAATGTGCATGGAAACGAAAAGAAGGCAAGAACAACACCACCTACACAGCCACAAAGCACCCAGTCGCAAAAGGAGTCATATATAGCATGGTCAAATCTATACACAAATAGCCAAGACAAGCTCAAGGAAGTACGTGAATGTATAAATGCTTACCTCGAGTACCTGAATACACTAACTGTTCAACCACCTGCTGCAAAATCACAAAGCTCACCCATTTCAAGTATGACAACACCAGCAGAAACAACACCTGATGAACTGTTTAGCAACATCCTAGAGTACATAAGATGCAAAAACAAGAAAGTTGCCAACAAGTAAGTCATCACCTTAAAACTTCTAATGTTATATGATGTTACAAAAATAAAGAAATCATAAATACTGTTGTGATCTATTTTGTTACCATACGGTAAGATATGGTTTGATATTATAGAATGGAGTATTCCATAAGTCCTGTCGTGTTTTAGTTTATTACCATATGGTAAGATGTGATAATATATGGTTTAATGTTATAAAATTTAGTAATCTACAAGTCCTGTTTTGTTTTGGTTTAATACCATATGTTAAGATGTGGTAAGCTATGGTTTGTTGTTATAGAATGGAGTAAACCATAACTCCTATTGTGTTTTGGTTTATTACCATGTGGTAAGAAGTGGTAAGATGTGGTTTGATGTAATATAATGGAATA